TCATGTGGTTTAATTCAAGTCCTGTAAATGTTAAAAAAATTTACATCTAAACATTGATCGACACGCATATACAGTGCCCTCCATAAGTATTGGAACAGTAAAGACAAAGTTGCTCTGTTTGCTGTGGAGTCAAGACATCTGTAAGTATGATTAAAAGATTAATATGAGACAAAACTACAGAATGTCACATTTTATTATTGGGTGTTTCAACACATAAATGTTTTACCCGCTAAGAAGATCAGCACTGTTAGAGTTCATCCCACTATCTGATGTGAGCATAAGTATTGGAACAGTTGCCTCACATGTCTTTCTGAGTAAAAAGCTGTGTCCTGCTGCATTAATTATTCAGATATTAAAAGCAGGGAATGTGTCCTATCAGTTATATCCATTGCTTCCGCATTCTGAGTCTTGCAATCGATGGCGACACACACAAACCAGGATGAAGACGAGGGAGCTGACTCTGAGAGAGAGAGAGAGAGAGAGAGAGAGAAAGAGAGAAAAGCAAGCAATTTGGATGCTAAAAGAAAAGAGGAAGTCAATTAGAGCTACAGCAAAAACAAAGGGCATGAAGAAATCAAGAGTTTGGAGACCACCGGAGTCATCAGCAGCCAATAACAACCTGATCGGCTGAAAACACAAATTAAGATACTTTTAATGAAACCTTAGAGATTGCTGTCCCCACATTAAAAGTCCAGGTAACCAAAACTTAGAAGATCCAAAAAGGTCATAAAAGCATCATTAAATTAATCCATATGACTCATGTGGTTTAATTCAAGTCCTGTAAATGTTAAAAAAATTTACATCTAAACATTGCTCGACACGCATATACAGTGCCCTCCATAAGTATTGGAACAGTAAAGACAAAGTTGCTCTGTTTGCTGTGGAGTCAAGACATCTGTAAGTATGATTAAAAGATTAATATGAGACAAAACTACAGAATGTCACATTTTATTATTGGGTGTTTCAACACATAAATGTTTTACCCGCTAAGAAGATCAGCACTGTTAGAGTTCATCCCACTATCTGATGTGAGCATAAGTATTGGAACAGTTGCCTCACATGTCTTTCTGAGTAAAAAGCTGTGTCCTGCTGCATTAATTATTCAGATATTAAAAGCAGGGAATGTGTCCTATCAGTTATATCCATTGCTTCCGCATTCTGAGTCTTGCAATCGATGGCGACACACACAAACCAGGATGAAGACGAGGGAGCTGACTCTGAGAGAGAGAGAGAGAGAGAGAGAGAGAAAGAGAGAAAAGCAAGCAATTTGGATGCTAAAAGAAAAGAGGAAGTCAATTAGAGCTACAGCAAAAACAAAGGGCATGAAGAAATCAAGAGTTTGGAGACCACCGGAGCCATCAGCAGCCAATAACAACCTGATCGGCTGAAAAAAACAACAGTAGTTGATGACAGACAAATCATAAAAGCTGTGAAAATGAACCGTAAAATACGTGTCTGTAAAATCACCAACAACCTCCAGAAAGCTGGGGTGACGCTCTGACAATCTACTGTCCGCAGGAGACTTTGACATAGAACTACAGATGCTACACCGCAAGATGCAAACCTCTGACCAGCACCAAAAATACAAAGGCAAGATTAGAGTTTGCAAAAGCCAATAGAGTTTTGAAACCGAGTTTTATGGACAGATGAGACAATGATTAACCTTATTCTAAGTGATGGGAAAGCAAAAGTGTGGAGAAAAAGGGAACTGCAAATAATCCCAAGCCATACAACCTCGTCTGTAAAACATGGTGGTTTTAATGATGAATTAATGTATGATGACAGTAGCAGAATGAATTTGGAAGGGTACAAATGATCTTGGCTACCAATATTCAAGAAAATGTCACCAGACTCATCAGAAAGTGCTTCACATTGCATCAGGATAATGACCCAAAACACCCTGCCAGTTCAGTCAAGGAGTTTATCAAGGCAAAAGAAATGTAAAGTCTTAGATTGCCCAAATCAATCTCCAGATATAAATCCGACTGAACATGAATTTCACCAGCTGAAGAGTAAACTAAAGGCAGAAACTCCCCAAAACAAGCAACAGTTGGAATTGGCTGCCTTAAAGGCTGGGAAAAGCATTTCAAAGGATGAGACCAAGAGTCTGGTGATGTCTATGGGTCGCAGACTCACTGCTCTGATCGCACGCAAGGGATCTGCAACAAAATAATAGCTTTTACTCTTTTACATCTGCCTTAAGTTCAACTGTCCTAATACTTATGGCTCACATCAAATAGTGGGATGAACTCTAAAAGTGCTGTCCTTTTTATTTGGTAAAACATGTAAGTGTTGAAATGGCTAATAATAAAATGTGACATTCTGTAGTTTTGTCTCATATTCATCTTTGAATCATATTTGCAAATGTCTTGACTCCACAGCAAACAGAGCAATTTTGTCTTTACTGTTGCAATACTTATGGAGGGCACTGTATAGAGCACACAACACAAAAGCCTAAATTAAATCTGTTAATTTTATAAAGTGATTGTAACTTTTTGAGGAACAGGAGCCTCTCAGGTTTCATTAAAATATCTTGTTTGAAAGATATGAGGGTGAGTAATTGACAATTTTCATTTTAAAGTCTATAATTTTTAAAAAAGCTTTCAGCTTTTAGCTTGACCAGTAATATGAGTTTGAGGAGGGACTACCTGTAATAAGCTGTTGAGCAGGGATTTTACAGGTTTTTCTCAAAACAATAGCAGATAGGGTTGGGTCTCATTTTTTTCGTTCTTTTAGGTGTTGGTAGTAGTGGAAAATACTCACTTCAACTTGAATTAGACCTTTAGCTCAACACAGGGAAATTCCTATGGAAATTTTACCCACTTGTCCTTCTGGATTTTTAGCTTTTCCTCGAGCTTTGAATTTCATCAGACACGTGGTTCGCATACCAGAGGCTTGACTTTTGTGATTCTTCACATACTTCAACTTCTTGTGGCCTTGTGCTTGCAGGCCTTTGATGAAGCCATTGCAGAGCTGGATACACTGAATGAAGACTCGTACAAAGACAGCACACTTATCATGCAGCTGCTTAGAGACAACCTCACAGTGAGTTACAAAGGAGGTCATACTGACCTACAGAAAACCAAAAATAATCATCTCTGAAACTATGGAATGTGTTTTTGATAAGTTATATTACATTCATTTATACTGAGTATTCAAAATCTAAATGTTCAGTATTCAAGCAGAGCTTTTTATCCTGTTTTTTTTAATTATTATTATTAGTTATGGACCTCTGACAATGCTGCAGATGAGGGTGAAGGAGGTGAAGGAGGAGACGGAGGAGAGAACTAAACACCCACATCAGTCCACAAATGAAAGAAAAAGAATCCTGGGAAAAGTCAACTTTTTACACTTCTTCATTCCTTATTGTTTCACTTATGATTATTCTAGCCATGTAAGCCCATGATCATTACCAATGAGCTGTGAGTGTGGGAATTCCAATCAGTCTGTTTTTTTTTCTCAGTTTTCCACCACCTGGCTTGTGGTTGTAATGAAAGTAACTATTAAGTTAAAGTAACATTTCCACTCCTCAGTTTCATGTTTTTGTCCTTTGGACTTCTATATGTGCAGTGTCTGCTGTAGAAAAGTATTAGCCTCACATAAAATCAATTGTGACAAAGCGACTAGTGTGTATATTCTGGTGAACTGAAACATTGGAAGTGTCGGTCACAAAATGCAAAGCGTTTTGCTTCAAGCATGGCTATTTCCTGTCCTGCTATCACCTTCCATTTTATGTCTCTCTAGGGAGATCAACATACACTTGAATGAGATAAATGTCCTGTTGACCGTCATAGTGTTGGCTTAAAATGGGCCTGTGCTTTAGTATTGATAGCAGGAAGGCTGTTGTCTGATGTACCAAGTCAGCTAGCTTTGCTCAGCCAAGTATGCACTTTTCATAGACCAATTGAATCATGTCTTCATCATGAAGGTCACGAAACACTCCTGCCTGGTTATGGTTTTCACTATGTGTTACCTTGCAATGGCTTGTGATGACTATAAAGAAAAAAAAAAAAGATGAAAAAATATCATGCATGCCCATTTTTCAATATACACTGGAATGGGAACCAATACTGCATACTTGTTCCACAGTTTGGTTAAGTACTTTTCATTGCAGGTTTATGCACATGCTGAGAGGATGTTTGATTTGTCAAGTGATGTCAATAGTTATTTGGACCACTTGTGTTTTTGCTAATCATTGGCTGTAGTCTCCCCAAAGCCTTGTGAAAATGTACAAGCCCTACATAACAGCTATGTAACCTGAATTAAAATGACCATTTTATAAACCATACAGTTTTGTCTTGAAATGTGTTTTGTTTTCTCTCGGTCTGTCCTGGTGACTTTTTTTGTGAGTTAATGTGATACGTTTGACTGGTTTTTAATTTTTGTATTTCCTATTGAAATAGGACATTTAGTTCCTTCCCTTATTATTTTTTTTTTAGCCAGTAGCATTTTTGTTTACATCACTTTACAGAAGTGTCTAATCAAATGGTGTTATTCTAGAAAGCTAGAGATTGGTTAAAATGATTAAGTGCAGGATGAGTCATCAGTATTTTGGCCGATTTTCCGGAAAAGAAAACCTGAATAAAATTGTCAGCGTTTACGAGTACACTAGCATATTGGCGACCTAACAACTAATAGACCTGGATTAAAAGCCATAAACTTTTTATTTCTTTAAATAAAACCAGATATAATGACAGGGAAATACAAACATTACACCACAATTCGGGTGTTTTTTTCTTCTTGACGCCATCATTACAGATGGTTAACAGTTCTTTGAAAATAATTAGTACTTATGATAATAAAGTGTGATATCATCTCCCTAAATAAAAGATTTACGGCTGCTTATATACTGTCCTCCAAATGAGTCTAGACGCTGTTCTGAATTTCATGGTGTTTGAGGTAAGAATTTAAAAATAGTCTGGACGAGACCGAGGCTGTCCTCAAAACCAAGTGCGCTCTCTACCTATACACGCGATCACACGCTTGTGACGCTGAGCAAATGGTGTCTATATAGGCAGCTCAGTAGAGTTTGAACCACAACCCGAGAGTTTATCTTCTTCCGTAACTCATACCGCGGATTCACTGACTAAAACCCATTTGAAATACCCCATGTACTGTCACTCGTGAATTTAAAATCAGTCTTTTGAAAACGCATTCAACACGATCTCTAGATAACGTTTATAGTGATTTCCTGGCGCGCGTTGAATCTGATCCATCCATCCCACATTAAATACTTCCGGGTATTTCACTACACTTCGATGTTGGCATGATTTGGGTTTGAGTAAATCTTTTTTCTTTTTAACATCAAGCGACATGGACGAGAGCGTCTCGAAGTGAGCGTTTTTTGTTCTTTGATACTCAATTGATACTTTGAGGCTTTGTTTTATCCAGCCAGATGTGATCGTGTACATTGGTTTGGCCATGTCCAGATGTTGATCTCAAACAGATTGGTAATCCATGGGATTAAATGCTGCTGCTGTGTGAAGTACTGTATTGTACATTAACGTACTCGCCATGAAACGCATCGTTTTCTTTCTGGCGTCTTTTTTCTTGACGGAATGTTCAAGGAGAGTCATTAGGGATGTCCTAGACGACGAGTACGGTGAGTTATTGTGAATGGGAATACTTTGAAAACATTATGGATACATTTAATTTGAAAGATTGTGTTTTGGTGACGCCGTGATAACCATAGTGCGCTTTTTAAAAAATCCCTTACTGTATTTTAAATCTTCATGTTTTTGTCGTTTTTGTTTTCGAATTTAATGACTTTACTCAAATAGTTTATGGAGAAACTAATCTGCAAGAGCATTTTTCCTACAAGAGTTCACTATGGCAATCAGACTATTCACCAAAATACTATACTTTTAGTTATATGCATATAATTAGTGGTATTATAAACAATATTTTAAACAACAATATAAACAGGGCTTGACCTTAACCTCACCAGCCACTGTGGCTAGGTCATTGGCCACAATTTTGTTGTTGGGAAATTACATTTTGTATGATTAAAGTTTACATTAATTTTAGGTTAAATTATAGTCATTTAAAATATAGAAGCTTCTTACTGTTAATTGTTTAGATTTTTTTAGAAGGCTGTTAGGTTCTTATTATTCCACTGGTTCACATTTACAACTGCGTGTTTGTTGTGTCAAAATATGGGTTGATTTTTGCATTGTTCTGAACAAAAACAGCAGATGGGCTTATTGAAAATGCACATTCATTCTCAAAGCCTCAATGGTTGCCTGTGACAAAACAACACACATGCTGGAACACTGCATGAGTGGAGGGGAGTGACAATTATTTTGCCACCCCACTCAAAGCGTTCTGTAAAAATCACTTTTTTATGCTCTACTCTGGGATTTTCAGATCTTTCATCCACTAAAATAAATTAAGAACCCCTTAAAAGAGAAATGTAGAATTCCGACAAATAAAAGTTAGAATTGAAAGGTGTAAACTCAAAGAAAAGTCAGGATTCCAAGATGTAAATAGAATTCTGAGAAAAAAATGCCACAATTGCAAATTGTTTGCTCAGAATTTAGAAAAAAAGTAAGAAATATGAGATGTAAACCCAGAATTCAGAGAAACATTTTTGAATTGTGTGATATAAATATGCATTTTTAAGAAAAAAAGAATAGCAAGGTGGATATGAACTCACAATTGTGAAAAATAAAGTTATTGTGTTATAAACTCACAATTCTGAGAAGCTCTGAATTGTCAGATATAAACTCACAATTGCTAGAAATAAAGTCAGAATTGTGAGATAAAAAGTTGCAATTACCTTTTTTATTTTCTATTCTGTGGCCATAATTGAGAACACTCGTTCTGAGCAATAATGGAGGGAGAAAAGAGACAGATGCCACTAGTCCTCCTTTAAAAAAAACTGCTCTTAAAACTTGTAAATTCACTTTAAAAATAAATATTTGTGCTCAATGTATAAAGTTGTTCCCTGTGACTATTTCAGACCAGCTCAGCTCATTGCTGTCGGACTTTGATGTTCTTCAGCTGTCCAGTCTTCAACAGCATTCGGTTCGTAAGAGAGACGTCCAGTCACAAACGCACGCAGAAAGATTTCTCGGTTTCACTGCATTACAGAGGTGAATACTCATCACCCATGTAGCAGTCACTGCCAAGATTAGTGCTCAATCATTTGATAAACTCTTCTAAATATTTCACAGGCATTTCAGATTGTACCTGACAACCAACACAGAGCTCTTCACTCATGACTTCAAGGCCGTGGTGGTAGGAGAGAATGGCGCTCAAGAGATGTACGAGGTCCAGAGAGAAAACTTCTTCACAGGCCATGTCATTGGTAACTGCAACTCTGTGTTTTAACATCTATAGTACTTTTAAATGTTTAAAATCTAGCAAACTTGATTTTTTTCCCCGCTTGATTTTTAGGAGAGGAGAATTCCAGAGTACAAGCACATATTGGTGACAATGACTTCACTGCTCATATTCTTACTGATGAAGCTGAATACAACATTGAGGTATTATAACGTCATAAATCTGATTTCGTTTATGCCCCTCAACAAAAACAATACATTGATTTATAATCCATTCAGCCACTGTGGAGGTTTATCGAAAACCCTCGTGACGATCGGCTGCTCGTATATCGTTCAGAAGACATCAGGAACGTGAGCCGGCTGGCGGCTTCAAAAGTGTGTGGCTACATCAGTGCAGATGCCAGTGAGATGCTTCCAGAAAGTGTGCGAGCAGCCAGCCCACTAGATGAAGATGAAGAGGAGGAGGATAGTAAGTCTTTGAGTTAATTACGCATCTTGTGACCTAACACTTCTGCTCATCAGAGCCGAATCTAGACAGTGTAATGTGAGATGCCAAATCTGTACTGTGAGACGCCACTTTATATAGTTGCTTTGTCACCCATGTGTAAAGTTTCTCGTCTTCTCACCCTTTGTCTATTTTCACTTTCTTTTTCTCTCAACTGCGTCTCTTCCACAGGGCATCTAAGAGAGAGAAGGCAGACGCTGGACCACAGTAAAAACACCTGCCCTCTGCTGCTTGTAGCCGACTATCGCTTTTTCAGACACATGGGCCGTAGGGAGGAGAGCACCACCCTCAACTACCTGGTAAAAAAGCCTTCAGTTTCGATATTGTCAATGGGCCTTATTCCTGACAGAAACAAAAAAGTTTCTGAATTAATTGAGTGTTAAAATCTTTCTGATGTAAAGTCACATTCAGTTCAATTGGACAGTGTGGTTCTCAACCTTTTTGACTCCATGGACGGCTTACGTCACTTCTTAGTACACACTGTCGGTGAGAATGCAACCCTTTAAATTGTACTGGGAAATAGTTCCCGCGAAATCGTCCCAGTACTTTAGTACTGTACATTTAGTTCTGGAACTAAAACGGTGCGAAAGGCCCTATTGTCAAAGACAATATTTGAAGGCCCCTCTCTGCTGTAATGACAATGCTGCTCATTTTCAAACTTTATTTATGGAAACTAGGAGTGGCAATATATAAAAAATAGTTAAATAAAATCACTATAAATAATTCAACTGATAAAATTCCATTATTCCATGATTTTTCAATAACTGAATGTTCTTCAGTGTTTACACTTTTACATCAATTAATTTACATTTTTTAGCCATTAGTGATTTACAATAATGTTTTACTCTACAAATAGCAATTGCTACCTGATGAAATATTTTAGAGCTTGATATACATTACTGTTCAAAAGTTTTAAGTTTGTTCGATTTTTTTTGGAAAGAAATTCATATTTTTATTCAGCAAAGATGCATTAAATTGATCAAAAGTGAATTTCTATTTCAAATGAATTCTGTCCTTTTTAACTTTGTTCATCAAAGAATCCTGGGAAAAACAAGAGTTGTTTTAATTTAATTATAAAAATATTAAGCAGCTGTTTTCAACATTGATAATAATGATTGATAATAATGAATAATGATTTCTGAATGATCATGTGACTGAAGTAATGACTGCTAAAAGTCAGCTTTTACATCACAGTAATAAATTACATTATAAAATGTATTAAAATAGAAAAGTTATTTTAATTTGTAATATTTCAGAATATTACTGTTTTTGGATTGAATAAATGCAGCCTTGGTAAGATCATTAAGAGGCTTCTTTTAAAAACATTAAACATTTCCGACCCCAGACTTTTAAATGGTAGTGTAACTAGCAAAATAATTTTAAATGTTGCGACCCTCTTAAAAGTTTGCTGAGGCCTCCTAGTGGGCTTCTGAGAGGGCTGTATAAAATTGTTTGCTGATGTCTTACAAATTTGCTTTGGATATGTTTAGATTGAGCTGATTGATCGTGTGGATGACATTTACCGTAATACATCTTGGGATGAGGAGTATAAAGGTTATGGAGTTCAGATTCAGCAGGTAAGCTTGGTTCTTTAAGGAGAATGTAGTAAAAAGCTCCACTGAAATGCTGTTTTGGAGCCAGTAACATGGATTTGTCTCTTTCAGATCATAATTAACAAGACACCCACACATGTAGACACAGCAGGAGGTGCCCACTTCAACATGAAAGGGACTCCTGTGAAGAACAAAGATGTCTGGGACGTCAAGAAGCTCTTGGAGGTGAGCGAGCTGGAGCTGTAGGAGCGAATGACTGGATTAATCAGAGCGTCTTCTCTGTATTCCGTTCTGTACTAATTTGAAACGATGAGAGGTGCTTGTACTTAAAAGGGAGGAATATTATTGAACACTTGTGTATTGTGTTTCACTATCTATCTCTTTCTGTGACCTGCTCGGCAGAGAACCAGCAAAGAGAAAGAATGGAAGCATTATTAGAGCAGTTCAATTTGTAGTCCTAAAACCCATCGCGGGGAATTACACCTTTTTAACTGATTTGTGTGGGATTTTTGATTAAAATAAGTCTGTGGTGAAAATTACTTAAAGAGACTTCCACATTTTGTTCTACATCATAAATTATTCATAGTCATACCTCAAATGCGAATCCTGAAACCACGGAGTGACTTTAATAGATACATTACTGTTCAAAAGAATGAGGATTTATTTTATTGTTTGTCAGTCACTGCATTTACTTTATTAAAAATGAAATAAAAAGAGTAATATTGTGAAATATTATTACAGATTAAATAGTTTTTAATGTTAATACATTTTAAAATGTAATTTATTCCTGTGATGGTAAAGCTGAATTTTCAGCAGCCATTACTCCATTCGCAGGGTCACATGATCCTTCAGAAATCATTCTAATATGTTGATCTGGTGCTCAAAAAACAATAATAGAAAATAATTGAAAATAGAAATCTTTTGTAACATTATTAATGTCTTTACTGTCATTTCTTATCAATTTAATGCATCCTTGCTGAATAAAATAATCAGTTTCTTTACAAAAAGGCACATTGCAGTCGTTATATACCTTATTTTGCTTGTAGATAGAAAACCAATTCATAAAAGTGCTTTAGAAATTCCCAAGGGAATTTAGGGTTCCTGGTTGGCCTTCAGATTAAGGTCAATATTAAACAGCTGTGCTATAAATGTAGTAAAAAATGTCATTTTGTCTTCCCCCTGCAGCAATTTAGCATTGACATGGCAGGCAATGCATCCAAGGTGTGCTTGGCTCATCTCTTCACCTATCAGGATTTTGATGAAGGCACACTTGGCTTGGCTTATGTGGCTCCTTCCAAACCAGGCTTTCCTGGAGGTCTCTGCTCTGAGAGTGAGTGCCAATACCATATTATGGATGAATAAATGCCATTTTCACCATACTTAGACATTTTGTTGTTTGTCTTTCTTTAGAGTGTCCACCTTCAGGAAACGACAACCGTGCTATATACCTCAACACTGGACTAACCAGCACCAAAAATTACGGGAAAACCATTCTTACCAAGGCAAGTGAAGTCCAAACAAATGTGCTTGATGTAATTATTTGTTAAACTGATTTTCTGACCATATGCCAACAGGAAGCAGACTTGGTTACTACCCACGAGCTTGGCCACAACTTTGGCGCTGTTCATGACCCAGATGATGTGCCATACTGTGCGCCCAGAGAGGACCAGGGGGGCAAATACGTAATGTACCCCATTGCGGTGAGCGGGGACCACTCTAACAATAAAGTATGTCCTTCGGTGATGTGAGTTCAGCTTGGTGTCATTGTTCAGAATGTCACATGATCATTTTGTAAGCGGTTTGTTTTTGTGCTTCCTTATAGTTGTTTTCAAACTGTAGTAAGATATCCATAGCAAAGAGACTGAAGGCCAAGGCCTCCACCTGCTTCAGGGAGAGGAACAGCAATGTGTGTGGAAACTCACGGGTGGAGGAAGGCGAGGAGTGTGACCCTGGACTGCTTCACCTCAACAGCGACCGCTGCTGCACGTCAAACTGCAAACTGCGGCCCAATGTGCAGTGCAGGTACAGCTCCTCCATGTGGCCTCATGAAAAACAATGCACAGATAAGCTGAATTAAAGGAACAGTTAACCCAAAAAATATCATTCTCTGATTATTTACTCACCCTTACATTGTTATTTTTCAAATCTTCCCTAAATGGTGAATTATTCATTTGAATCTTCTAGGCTTCATGTCATTTTTCTTCCTGTAACTTCTGTATTTTTTTTTTCTTGACACCAGTGACAGGAACAGTGCGTGCTGCAAAGTCTGCATGTTTGAGAAGCAGGGAAAGGTGTGTCAGGAGCCAATGGATGCCACTTGCAAGGGAAGATCTTACTGTACAGGTGAAGCAAAAACTCCAAGTTTAGATAATTGAATGTACTTCTTTATACAGTATATCTGATTTACATGTTTAAGAATTCAGATCGAGAACAGTTTTAGTATTATTTATATACTATGATAGTAGTTTCAATGTCATTTTAGTTTGCATTGGTAATTTTGTTTTTGTCATTTTAATTAGTTGTTTTTAATATTCTTATATGCCGTTATTTATTTTATTTCAGTTTTACTTTTAATAATTTCAGTACTTAAATAACTTAAATTTATTTCAGCCAAGACAACAATTTTTTTGTACAATAACTTTTTATTATTTTCACAAATAGAAGAACACACACACACACCTACACACATTTCTATGCAACATTCTTATGTTTTGATCAAGTTTCATCTAATATTTGTATTTGATTTAATTTTAGCTTCATTTCTATTACCGAATAGCAGTTTATCATAGATTTAGTTAACATTTCATGAAACCTGTCAGTAATATGTCTAGGTCATATTTAAACCCTGTATCAAAAGATAAGATTATATATATATATATATTTTTAAATAAAATAATTATTTGGTGCTATCAAGATATTTTACATTGTGAGATTATTACAATATTTTTAAAGACTTTTTTAAAATCATATTTCATATTTTATGACAATATGAGAATCACTACACTAATGAGAATCACTATGGTAAATGGAAAATATAAAAGATTTTGAATGTAGAGTATCCAGGTGCATTATGGTAATGAGAATTTGAGAAGTAAATGTTCATAAATGTAATGAAAACAGTGTTGCAATGCAAAAACATCTGCTAAAAACAGGCAAAATTCCTTACTGATGAGATTTAACTGCATTTGTTTGAAAGTCTATTCTTCTGTGCTTCTTACAGGACTCAGCAGTGAGTGTCCTCCTCCAGAGAACCTCCCCAATGAGACCATCTGTGTGGACAACGGCCGGTGTCTGAAGGGAGAGTGCATCCCGTTCTGTGAAGCTGTGGAGAACCTGCAGTCGTGTGCTTGCAATGGTAAACTGACCTGCTGATAATGCTAATACTGTTGCTACATGGCAGTTACAGTTTTTAAAGTCTGTCTTGAACAAACATGAACTTTTGTACTTTTCCTGTATCTCATTTTTCAGAGACAAACAACTCTTGTAAGGTGTGCTGTAGGGATAAGAACGCTGGATGTGCTCCCTATGTCAATGACAAGGGCAGCCACCTCTATCTGCGGAAAGGCAAACCCTGCACTGTGGGCTTTTGTGATGGAGCGGTGAGTGCCAATGTACAGTTACAGTTATGAAAAAACGCATATAAAAGCTGTTTTTATTCACAGATTAATTAGAAATGGTTTGCATTCAGTTATTTAAACATTTCCTTTTATTCCCAGGGCAAATGCATGAAACAGGTCCAGGATGTTATTGAGAGGTTGTGGGATTTCATTGAGAAGTTGGACATCAATACTTTTGGTAAGTTATCTGTGAACACAGTAAGTTTATCTCACTTGAAATCCAATTGAGGAATGTAACCTGTGTGTGTGTGTGTTCTCTCAGGGAAGTTCTTGGCTGATAACATTGTTGGCTCAGTGGTGGTCTTCTCACTAATTTTCTGGATCCCTCTCAGCATTCTGGTCCATTGTGTGGTGAGTCATTTCCACTAACATCTTATAGCTACTTAGCTCTGAGGAAATGTATGATACTTTAATAGACTGACCTTGAGTGGTATTATAGTGTAAAAGACTATTTATGCCGATACTGAAACAAAGAAGCGAAATAAATAGCAGACAAAAGATCTATTTACACCAAGAGCGTAAATGAAAATTTGAAATCATTCAGAAGAATAGTCTGCTTCCGCCAAGACTAAAACAAAAAAATGGAATAAATCACAGATGAAATGTCTATTCACACAAGAGCAAATGAAAAATTGAATAAATCAAATGAAACTTCTTTTCACACCAAGAGCAAAACAAGTGTTAAATGAATCACAAACAAAATGTCTGTTTACACCAAGACAAAACAAGAAAATAAATAATTCACATATTAAATATCTTTTTTTGCACCAAGAGCCTAACAAAAAGGTGAAATAAATCACAGGCAAAATGTCTGTTTAAACCAAGAGCACAATGAAAAAATTAAGTAAATCACACTTAAATCAAAAAGAAATAACACTCTTAAAGGTCCTAATTCAGGTTATTTGCAACCAATCTGATGATACAAATGTCACTTGCTTCAGTGCAAAATTTGGCTGATTTCAAATGTGTACATTTTACATTCTTTTTTTTATTTTAAAGCAAAAAAGCACAGACAATTTCATAATCATATTTGGTTTTTATGGTACCATATTTAAAAGGATTTAAAAAAAGTCATATTCTCATTAATGAAATGCAAAGAAATAATGCTGTATTATATTTAAATTATGAAATATGTTTATATCATGGTAATTGTTGTACTCATTTATTGATATTTTATGACAATATGAGAATCACTACACTAATGAGAATCACTATGGTAAATGGAAAATATAAAAGATTTTGAATGTAGAGTATCCAGGTGCATTATGGTAATGAGAATTTGAGAAGTAAATGTTCATAAATGTAATGAAAACAGTGTTGCAATGCAAAAACATCTGCTAAAAACAGGCAAAATTCCTTACTGATGAGATTTAACTGCATTTGTTTGAAAGTCTATTCTTCTGTGCTTCTTACAGGACTCAGCAGTGAGTGTCCTCCTCCAGAGAACCTCCCCAATGAGACCATCTGTGTGGACAACGGCCGGTGTCTGAAGGGAGAGTGCATCCCGTTCTGTGAAGCTGTGGAGAACCTGCAGTCGTGTGCTTGCAATGGTAAACTGACCTGCTGATAATGCTAATACTGTTGCTACATGGCAGTTACAGTTTTTACAGTCTGTCTTGAACAAACATGAACTTTTTTACTTTTCCTGTATCTCATTTTTCAGAGACAAACAACTCTTGTAAGGTGTGCTGTAGGGATAAGAACGCTGGATGTGCTCCCTATGTCAATGACAAGGGCAGCCACCTCTATCTGCGGAAAGGCAAACCCTGCACTGTGGGCTTTTGTGATGGAGCGGTGAGTGCCAATGTACAGTTACAGTTATGAAAAAACGCATATAAAAGCTGTTTTTATTCACAGATTAATTAGAAATGGTTTGCATTCAGTTATTTAAACATTTCCTTTTATTCCCAGGGCAAATGCATGAAACAGGTCCAGGATGTTATTGAGAGGTTGTGGGATTTCATTGAGAAGTTGGACATCAATACTTTTGGTAAGTTATCTGTGAACACAGTAAGTTTATCTCACTTGAAATCCAATTGAGGAATGTAACCTGTGTGTGTGTGTGTTCTCTCAGGGAAGTTCCTGGCTGATAACATTGTTGGCTCAGTGGTGGTCTTCTCACTAATTTTCTGGATCCCTCTCAGCATTCTGGTCCATTGTGTGGTGAGTCATTTCCACTAACATCTTATAGCTACTTAGCTCTGAGGAAATGTATGATACTTTAATAGACTGACCTTGAGTGGTATTATAGTGTAAAAGACTATTTATGCCGATACTGAAACAAAGAAGCGAAATAAATAGCAGACAAAAGATCTATTTACACCAAGAGCGTAAATGAAAATTTGAAATCATTCAGAAGAATAGTCTGCTTCCGCCAAGACTAAAACAAAAAAATGGAATAAATCACAGATGAAATGTCTATTCACACAAGAGCAAATGAAAAATTGAATAAATCAAATGAAACTTCTTTTCACACCAAGAGCAAAACAAGTGTTAAATGAATCACAAACAAAATGTCTGTTTACACCAAGACAAAACAAGAAAATAAATAATTCACATATTAAATATCTTTTTTTGCACCAAGAGCCTAACAAAAAGGTGAAATAAATCACAGGCAAAATGTCTGTTTAAACCAAGAGCACAATGAAAAAATTAAGTAAATCACACTTAAATCAAAAAGAAATAACACTCTTAAAGGTCCTAATTCAGGTTATTTGCAACCAATCTGATGATACAAATGTCACTTGCTTCAGTGCAAAATTTGGCTGATTTCAAATGTGGTACATTTTACATTCTTTTTTTATTTTAAAGCAAAAAAGCACAGACAATTTCATTCACTTATATTAAGGGATATTAAAAGGATAGTTCACCCAAAAATTTAAAATCTGTCATTAATTTCTGACCCTGCATAGACAGCAACGCAGCTAGACTAAAGCTCTCAGATTTAATCAAAAATCTTACTTTGTGTTCCGAAGATGAACGAAGGTCTTATGGGTTTGCAACGACATGAGGGAGAGTAATTAATGACACAATTTTCGGTGAACTATGCCTTTAAATGCAAAATAAGTTTTAAGTTGCAATAATTACAGGCCCCATCCAAAGAATAGTTTGTTTTGTGTTTTACAAGATTACTGTCTCTCTTTGTTTTTAGGATAAGAAACTTGACCAGCAGTATGAATTGAACACAAAGTCACTCTTCTACCCCAGTGTGAGTACTAATCAGAAAGCTTATTTTCTTTAACATATTATGAAGTGTAACAATTGACTGTGCTGTCCCAGAATGCAGAGTTGCTGAGCAGTCTAGAATCAGCCTCAGTGCGGATCTTCAAACCACCCACATCCTCAGGCTCCTCTGCAGTGCCACGCTTCCAGGCGTCTGGACCTCTGCAGACCAGCACACCACCTGTCTCCATCTCTCAGGTGGCTCCAGCTCCAACCCCAACCCCGTGTCCTCTCCCTACAATAGAGCCCCAACGCATGACCACCATCCAAGAAGATCCCAGCTATGATTCCCACCTGGATGAACAAGCCCTGGGAGAGGACTTCCCTACCTCTGGCTCGGTGTCACGTTCCTTTGATGATCTGACGGAGAACCGAGAGAACGCCATGTCCTTCAGGGTAAATAGACATGCACGGAGTAACAGCAAGGAGACTGAATGCTAAGAGTGTAATTGTATAAAATGGGAAAAATAAATGTGACTATGAATGAACTAAAAGGGAATATGATTAGAAATGCTCAAAGCTGAGCAGAATGAACATTACATAAGCATGGAACTACAATGTGTGTTTACAGCTCCAGTATTGAAAATAACCAGAATGCAGTATGTTTTAAAGGGATAGTTTACTTTAAAATTTTAGGATTTATTCACCCTCATGTTGTTTCAAAGTTGTATGACTTTCTATCTTCTGTGGCGTTCTGAAGGAGAAAATCCAAATATCTCGCTGGTCTTTATACCAAGAAATTCACTATAAATAAGGATGCAAAAGCACCATTAAAGTATCTCAGAAGTGATTCGTAAGACTTATGCACAGTATTCCAAGTATTTTGAAAAATTATGATAGGATTGTGTGAGGAACAGACACTTTTTTTCAGCTGTTAAAATAGGTATGAAATCTATTTTCTAAAAGCATGCTATTGGTATCATTGTTCCTTTTTTTTACCACCATATAATTTGCTTTTGAAACACACATCTCTCCTGTTGCGTATGCTGGATCATTGGCGTATGTGACCGTTTAGTCCGCTTAAACCCTGCTGCTTTCTTATAATCGATTGCAAGCTTGCATTCAGATCTGCCTCTATCCATTCAACAACCGATGGATAGAACCAAGTCCCCATCCTACTTTTTTTCTTTTCAATCATCTTTTTCACTCAATACAAAATAAAAGTTTGTTGCTATTTCCCTTACATCACCACTTTAATTACTGGTTTGTTCCTCCACAAAGCAGCACATGTTGGGTTGATCACTTTTCATGCTACTTTTAAGGTGCTGAAAAAAGATGTCATAAGTTTTGGAATGACATGAGGGTGAGTAAATGAGGACAGAGTTTTCGTTTTTGGGTGAACTATCCCTTTAAGAGCGCTGGACTTTTATAAAGAAACAGAAGGCACAAATCATTCAGTGACTATGCATTAGATAGGAACTTAATGTTGTCAGTCCTGTTAGGATTATCAGTATACTGCACACATAATTACACACACACACACACACACACACTCACACTCATCAGCGTTATCTAAACATGACCAGCATCATTGTTAAAGTTTAACTGCCCAATACTAAGATGTTTACAGGTCTTTTTTTTTGTCTGAGAGATTGACCAGATGCTAGCAGATCTTGAGAACTGTTATATCATAAAAATACCTGTTACATTTTAGTTGATTTTTTTTATGTGTATGTGCTCTGACACTCACCAGCAAATTGTTTTGTAATCTCTATGGAACACAATCTTGTGTTTTTGCTTTTTATTGTTTGCAAGAGACAATCTGATATTTTAGGGGCATTTGATATTTTTAGATATTGTCTGTGAATTATAATTTTTTGCTTTAATTTGTACTGTTCTTGAAACAACATATATTAGTATACATAATACTTAAACAGTTATACCAGCAGATGTTATACATGTTTGGTAAATGAGAAGTTTTTGGCTCATTGGCTTAATATGAAACACCCAAGTCAAGACAATCAGGCTGTTAAGACTTTTCTGCAACACAATGTTCATGACTGTATGCAAGAATATGTATCTTGCAGCTGCTCCCATAAGAATGTACTGATGAACACTGCTCTGAGATCAGTATACAAAGTGCCTTGTATTTTATTTTTTTAAATTTGTATTGTGAAATCGTATTTTACTCCACGTGTTTTGTAATATAATCTACAGGAAAACTCAAAAAGGGAATATGACAGTGTCATTTATAGGTGGCTGAACAGTCACCTTCATCTGAATCTTATTCAGAAATTTAATTGGGAATGTATTGGCGTTGATCTTGTAGAATACCAAGCATACTAGTAAGTTCTAGATCTTATTACGTGACCCAGCCATGAAAATGTACTTTGTTTTTATTCTCTGGGGTCCAATCTTTTTTGATGTTAAGAAATGTGCCCATAAATACTCCGACTGCATGGTTCCTCACAATGTTGTAATGGGACGAGAGAGAAAGTATTGAATATTAAGACACTGTTTTGTATCAGTGTGTTAAATATTTGTGTAACTTGGTATATTTTGCAAGCTTTCATTTTTAAATAAAGTGTCAGCTTTAATGCGAGTTGTATTGAAATTTAAGCTCAACTTGAATCAAAGACCTCTTTTATTAAATCAGTACATTGGATCTTAAATTTTAAATGACATTTTAAATGATCACTACATATTGTATGTAGCAGAAATAAAAAAGAACTAAGTCCTGACTGCACACATGTATCAACATCTAGCTTTAACTGTTTTACATTTGTTTTTAATGTAAAATTCAATGCTTCGAAGTGCTTTGGCCAGTCCAGTATCTGGTGTCTTCAGTCTGGTTGAAGTAGTTCAAGTTAGATGGACTCTGATAACAAAAGTTCTGGAAGGAAATTAGGAGCCCATCTCACATGACAGGGTTCATGGCTTCATACAGCCTCTGTACAGCGAGCTCCACCATTTCTCTGAGAGAATCATCTTCAGAATTGGCCTCCTCATACTCCACGGTCTAAACACAAATATTAAAACACAAGAATTAGAAGACTTGCCTTCCCATAAAACGTAAGTGTGTGTACGAATCACAGAGTGTTATGCTTACTCTGGTTTCCAGGTTGATGAAGGCAGTTTTCCCATCTACACTTACAGCGAGACAGTTCTTGTCTTTAAAGTCGACACACTCCTCTCCAAACATGTCTCTGCAGATTGGGGCAGAAGAAGAATTTAGGTCATCATAAATATCATTGACAGTTAGCTGAGTGCTGTGAGGATGAACTTACTGGAACATTTTCAGTAATCTGTTCTGGAAAACATTCACATCCACCTTCTTTTCTTGGGGCTGAACAACTATGATGAAAAAATAAAGAGGAAAACAAAAGTGTTGGTGTAAATATGACTAGTTATTAACAATTTTCACATCACGAGAAAGGAAAAAAAAAGAATAAGAAACAAGGAAGGATAGAAGGGGGAAGAAAGTGAGGAAAAGAAAGGAAGCAAGCAAAATAAAGTGAGAACAGGAGAAGAAAGGAAAGAAAAAGAGTAATATATAGAAAGGAAGGAAATAAGCAAGCAAAAAAAGGAAGAAATGAAGATAAAGTAGGAAATAAAGGATGATAAAAGAAATCACATGAGTGTAAAAAAAGAAAAAAGATGAATTAATTAACATTTTCAGTAATCTGTTCTGGAAAACATTCACATCCACCTTCTTTTCTTGGGGCTGAACAACTATGATGAAAAAATAAAGAGGAAAACAAAAGTGTTGGTGTAAATATGACTAGTTATTAACAATTTTCACATCACGAGAAAGGAAAAAAAAAGAATAAGAAACAAGGAAGGATAGAAGGGGGAAGAAAGTGAGGAAAAGAAAGGAAGCAAGCAAAATAAAGTGAGAACAGGAGAAGAAAGGAAAGAAAAAGTAATATATAGAAAGGAAGGAAATAGCAAGCAAAAAAAGGAAGAAATGAAGATAAAGTGGGAAATAAAGGATGATAAAAGAAATCACATGAGAATGTAAAAAAAGAAAAAAGATGAATGAAGAAAAAGTGTATTAATATTTTAACATCATTAAAACAAAAAATTAGAAAATTGAAAGAAACAGAAAAATGAATGAAGGAGAGGGAAGGAAGAGCACACAGAAACAGCAAGGAAAGAAGGATGAAAAACAAAGGAAACAAACAAAGTGAGAAAGAGGAGAAAAGAAAGGATAGAAAAGAACAGAAGGAACAAAGGTAAGAAGCAAGATAAAGACAGTAATAAAAAAGGAAGAATGTGCAGAAGGAAGGATGGAAGGAATAAAGGTGACAAGAAATAAAGATTAAAAAAAAAGGAAATATAGGAGGACAAAAAGACGGAAAAGGTAAAGGAAGCCAGAAAGAAATTGTGAAAGAAAGAGAAAAAGGAAAGAGGAAAGAGAAAAAGAAAGAACAACAACAACAGAAGAAATGAAGGATGCAAGATAAAGCAGTCCTAAAAAAAGGAAAGGGAGAAAAAGGGAAGGAAAAAATTAAAGGAAGCCAGCAAAAACAAAAGCAAGAAAAAGAATGGAAAAGAACAACAAAGGGAGAAAGAAAATAAAAAAAGAAAGGAAGAAAGACTGCAAAAAGGAAGCATAAGGTAAAAAGGAAGGAAGCAAGATAAAAACGATTTCATAAACTCTTTCAATACAACTCATTGTAACTGATGAAAGCCTTCACCTTTCTGAGCTTTAGGGTTGGACTGCACCTCCAGCACCACTGTGGTGACGGCATCAGCGTACATGTCATTCAGAGGATTGGCAAACCACTGGAGGAAGAACACAACAGACACACACACAATCAAACCCGAGTCACTTCAGATGCCATAGTTACACTGGTATGTGAATGACCAGAGTGCCGCCTCACCTCCAACAAGACCATGTTTTGATCATGAACCACTGTGATGCTGTTAAAGACTCTCAGCGTGCTCTTCTCTGAGATCTCAATCTCCTCCACATCACCTATAACACACACACACACACACACACACAATGAGCACCACATATAAACACATAATACACACACACACACACACACACCTGTCAGGTGCCGTAGCTGACTCAAAAGCAAGGGAAAAGGGCCGGTGAAGGGAATGGCTTGAGTCTGTTTCACTGTGCTCATGGCCAGATCAGTGTAATCTGCATCATTAAGAAAAAAAAGAGCAGGTGTGAGAAGCGCACACTCAAACACATATGAAACACCTGAAGTGATCACAAACAAACACCAACTCACTGGAGAGGTCAGAGGGGGCGAGGATGTGATAACTGAAGTTCTTTTTCACCAGGATGCCCGAGACCCGCTGAGCCTGCACACACTTCTTATCCGCAAGAGAGCCCATCACCTTAACAGGTCAAAGAAAAGGAAAGAAATTAGAAAAAGGACAAAAAGGATTCATCACAGAAATTAAAGATTCATAAAAGGACTTAACTATGCAGTGTTTGTAATGTGATTTTTTTTTAGCTTATTTGAATGTTTTTATTGCAACAGCCTCTCATTATAACAATTTATACTGCAAAAGTTTACATCAGTTGATAATATCAACATTATTCATTATTATTATGAATTAATATTAGTAACTAGACTGATGTCATGATTCACGGACTTAAACAAGTACATTCGTGACTGATTTATTCAAAATTGAAAGAAAGAAAGAAAGAAAGAAAGAAAGGAAGGAAGAAAGGAAGAAAGAAAGAAAAAGAAAGGAAGGAATGAATGAAGAAAGAAAGAAAGAAAGAAAGAGAAAGGAAGGAAGAAAGAAAGAAAAAGAAAGAGAAAGAAAGAAAGAAAGAAAGAAAGAAAGAAAGAAAAAGAAAGAAAGAAAGAAAAAGAAAGGAAGGAATGAAGAAAAAAGAAAGAAAGAAAGGAAGGGAGGAAGGAAGGAAGAAAGGAAAGAAAGAAAGAAAGGAAGGAAGGAAGGAAGAAAGGAAAGAAAGGAAAGAAAGAAAGACAAGTAGTTTGGTTGTTCTGATTCAAACACTAGTGAGTTCAATTCAAACAAATCTTTTGCAAGTTTAAGATCTCATGAAGGATTTATTAAGTTGAATGAAGAAAAATTGTAGTCGTAGTCTGGATGAACCTAATCAATCATTTAACTTGGCAGAAGAACTGAAGTTTGTGATTATTATTTTGACAAACTACTACAGCAGCAGCATCTAACTGTGGGTATGACAGAGAAAACTAGGGAAAGCTAAAGAGACGTGGAGGAATGACAGCTGCGGTCTCACCTTAGCCAGTTTCTCTCCTCTGAAGTTCAGCGTGACGGCCTCAGTATTACGAGGGTTGTGCACCTCGATGTGAACCTCATCATTGTCCTCATACTCTCTTATCAGAGCAGCTTTCAGTCGAGCCATCTCATTCTGCTCTCCATGAACCAGGATCTGAAAACCACAGCAATAACATGACACCTGGTCTAGAACCTGATGGCCTGCTGCCTTATGACATTATCACTTACCACATGAGGAGGTTTCAGAGCTCGGATGAACTCGCTGGTCTGCTGGTAGTCTGTATGAGCAGAGAAGGAGATATAGTCCACGGACATCTTCAGCGGAAGCTTCTGTCCGGACATGGTGGTGATCTCCTCTGGCTCAGACATGATATGCTGCACAGAAAACAGGGTGAGGAGGACAGGTTTAATTCAGCATTCATAAGAAACCTGATGCTGATCTGTGGTGATCTTGTTGCTGACGTTTGAGGAGCTTCACCTTGGCGAGCGTTCCTTCCACACAATAACCCGCTATGATGACACCGTTCCTCTTGTCGGTGCACCAGCTCTCAAATGTAAGGCAATGCATCCATGCCCTCCAATCCAGGGTGGATGCCACAGTCCAGCTGCAAAGATATTACGTCAAAAATACATCTGTCAAAAGCATCAAAAGTAGGACAGAGCACAAAATATTGCTTACCATGATTTTACGGCCCTTGAACTCCAGGATGATACAGGACCTGCCCACCTCTTGACCAGCTCCTCTGTTAGAAACATCACAGTAAAGAAGATATACTAGTTACAGTACTCAGAGAAAGTATTAACACGGGTGCAAAACTTCTTTAATAACACTTTGGTCCTGTTAGATATTGTATTTATTATTTGAAAACTGCAAGTTAAACAGTAAGTCAGCAAAACATTTGGTGCGGAATAGAACACAGTATGAATGAACTGAACTCACAGTGGTCTTATGAGGAGTTGATCACTCTCTTCTGCAGGCACTGATACATCCGCTTTACGTTTTGTAGCCATGCTTGTTTTACACTTAACTAAGAATTACTTATTCAATATCCATCGATACTTCTAATAATAATCGACAACGATCATGAGCACTGAGAACCACACACCATTGACACGACAAGTACTTCCGGTGTGGTCCTGAGTCAAAATAAAAGTTCGACGTGAGCGTAAAGAAAATGAAAAAAGTTCCCTAAAGCTGAGAGTTAAATAAGAAGATATACTAGATACAGTACTCAGAGAAAGTATTAACACGGGTGCAAAACTTCTTTAATAACACTTTGGTCCTGTTAGATATTGTATTTATTATTTGAAAACTGCAAGTTAAACAGTAAGTCAGCAAAACATTTGGTGCGGAATAGAACACAGTATGAATGAACTGAACTCACAGTGGTCTTATGAGGAGTTGATCACTCTCTTCTGCAGGCACTGATACATCCGCTTTACGTTTTGTAGCCATGCTTGTTTTACACTTAACTAAGAATTACTTATTCAATATCCATCGATACTTCTAATAATAATCGACAACGATCATGAGCACTGAGAACCACACACCATTGACACGACAAGTACTTCCGGTGTGGTCCTGAGTCAAAATAAAAGTTCGACGTGAGCGTAAAGAAAATGAAAAAAGTTCCCTAAAGCTGAGAGTTAAATAGGTTATCAAATTATATTGAAAAGCTTTGAGGCAAAATACACAAGCTCAGTTAGGACAGCAATAAATAAATACATATATAAAAATATATTAATAGATTAAAAAACTTACGAATGAATCAAGACGAATGTTGTTGCCAAATAATTAACTATATTGCCACTGTACTAAAGTCAACACCATGTGAAAATACTGTGTGGAAAAATGTGTGCTAAGTTAAAAGCGTATTGTTTTTCTAACATTATTTCAGCTTTTCAGGTTTTCAGCGTTAGGTTACGTCCCTAAACTCTGATTGGACAGCCAGATCAGGACTCCTCTCTCATTGGCGGACTGGATATGATTGACGGGCGATATGATCCCGCCTACAAATCACATGTACAGTGAACTTCTACTGTACAGGTACGAATGGGTGGAATCCAGAAGTGTTGATCTGGTCAGTTGCGCGTGTGATGGAGCTGTTCAACTCTCCTGTTCAAAGACGAATTAACTTCGCATTGCCTCTTTTTCTTTTTGATCTGTTTGGACTCCATACGGAACTTTTTAAACTAAGTATTTTAAGGAATGACTGACACGAACTGAGTTTGAAACGGGTTTTGTGCGGACTTTTTTAAAAGTACAACATTTAACACATTTTATGTTTCTCGTCTTGGTTTTAGTCTTGATTTAAAGGGAATAATCATGCCTGATCAACTGACAGTACCGGAGTTTATGGACATTACCAATGAGGACTATAAAGCACCAACAACATCAGTGTTCTGTACGCGCATGGCTCACTGTAGGAATACAGTCGGCGCTTTGGAAGAGGTAAAACACCTTTACAATGTCAATAATACGGATGTACAGTATAACAATTTACAGACTAGCGCGAAGTGCGCAATTATGTCTGTATCTGTATAATTGTATTACAGAATGTGTGCTAACTTCAGAACATTACTTCAGTAAATACTATAAATTAGTCTATTTTACAAAAGGAGCATGGAAAATGACTTCCTTCTTGTAGCACCAAAGCTCAATGTATCCCGTGTTGGAAGTGAACCTCGCCCGTGTTTCTCACGGGTTCATGTAACTTTTTTTATCGCTATGTTGACGCCATTCTTAACTTGTTAGCAATTTTAGTCTTTTATAAGTCTCAAAGTCACATAATGAACCTGATATCTCATACATTTACAATTAACAGTAATTTGTTATTAATAAATGCATGCAGCAGATTTTATGGACTGATTTACAGGCCTGTGCCTGTCTGAGGTAACAGAGCTGTTACTAACAAATACAGATATTACAGAAATAAGACAAACATTAAAAGATGGTGGAAGATTTTATAATGCTACAATGATAAACATTTAAAACTATTCACAAGACCCCTACTAATAGAAAGTATCAAAAAGTGTCATGGCACTGGTGACATACTGTGGCTGTGCTATATTTTACTTTTATTTTACAGTGGTACTGCCATAATATACTGTAAAAATCAGAAAAGTCAAAAACATATGTTTTATTAACTTAAAATGTTTTTAAAATGCTTGTGGATCTAAGTTTAATAAGCGTCTTAAGTTAAGCTGATTATTAACTTTACATACAGTAATTGTGATGTAGAACTTTGTCTAACTTGTGTATCAGTTTGTTGAGCAAACTGAGAAGGTTATATAGAGTTACACACCAACACATTCTCACTGAAATGGAAGAAACGTAACAGTAGAGAACACTAATTGAAACATAACACAACATTTAGAACAAAATATAATTGAAAAGTTATATGGAGCTAAAACATATAGGCTATTAATTATGAATATCAAATATTTGTCATCATAAGTCCCCATGCTTTGACCAAAAACTTAAATTCAAGTGCATCATCAGAGATCAAACTGAGCATGCTCAGCAGCCTGTTAGCTAGACCTTCCTTTCCAAACTTGACATTGTAAGTTATTTCTGTTTAAGTTGCTCAAGCTAAATGGCTTAAATATGGACTTAAATTACATTTTAATGTAGTGTCAACATTATCATCATTTGATGGTTCAGTCTATCTTTAAAATTGAGTTTGTCTGACAAAATTATTTTATTACAGAATACAAGGGTTGACCCAAGCATGATACTGTTAACTAGTTGGTGGGCATTAGTTCACATGATGGGTAGTGTAAATCAAAAAAATTTTCTAGAAACCTTTTTGTATATTTTCTAGGAAAAGTTAGTAACTAGAAACTTACATTGTAAAAATATTGTGTCAGATAACCTAATAATGTTTTGTGTAGTAACATCTATGTAACTGGTTTACACCAATTTTAATGTAATTTTAATAGTTAGATCAGGTAGAAAGTTTCTTAACAAAAAAACGTGTAATCATACTACTGATAGGATCAGCTATAGAATAGGTTTCTTCTAAAGGTTTGCGTTAGTTTCAAAATTGCAGTGACTTCTTCAATGGAAATATAAAAGCGCTTTGTTTGTGCAAACAGTTCTGAACTCTGTCACCCTTTCACCATCAGAATAGCAGATCTAGTTGAACTTTACTCATGTCTAAGAATGACCCTGCAGTCTGTGCTGTTAATCAAAAGAAGCTCCGCAGCTCTTCCTCTTTTACCTCTTTTACACTTTGACTCTGAGCTTGAAGTAAAAATGTTGACTTCTGATGAACGGGAAAAGTATCAGTCATTTCTGAATGATGACAAAGAAGCAGCCCAAACACTTCATAGGATGTGTTGTTCACACACTTGGCAGGTTTGGTTTGATTAAAATGAACTCTGTTGTGACTGCACTGTTAGTGAGGTCCATTTAAGTAAGTGTGAACGCTGCCATCCGAACCTTGGAGCGGGCCAAACAATAGGCCAAACGAACCAAAAACAGGATGTGATGTCAGAAGGTGCGACAAAATATCTGGTTCTTCTCGTCATAGAAGCTGTGATGCCCAGTATGGTTCAGTACAGGCGTCAGAACCAACAGATCTCCGTTTGTGCAAAAGAGGAATTCCTTGGCGCTGTTCTGACTCTTAGATATTTTGTAAGCTCTTTCTGATTTATAAGCTGGTAAAATACCACTATACAGAATGTACACACATGCAATGAGCACATTTATCCCAGCATCCAGCATTGTTTTAGATGTTCAGTAAGTTTGCAAAATATATGTCATAGAAGGTTCAATGTTAAAAATGACAGTGAATGCTTAGCGAAACAGGACTAAATCTATAATTTACTTTTTTGGTCCTGACCAAAAGAACCAAGAGAACTGAACTGCAAGTGTAAACACACCCATAGTGTATCAAGGACTAGGTGGTTTTTGGAAAGCAGGCATCAGTAAAATCCACTGCCTCAGGCTCTTAGAGTAACTGGCGTTTTCGTGTGACCGGGATATACAGAGGGAAACACTCTTTATGAGTTGCCCTTTGGCACTACCCCATTTGCATTTAGCCTCAATGGAGGAAGTAGCTGAGGTAAACAGATGTTCATGGTTTATGTAAAGACTGTAGCTGGATCTTGTGCACATTTCTTTATGCATAAGTTTGCTTATCTATAAAGTGATGTCAGATGATGTGGTTGTTTTTGTAAAACCTCTTAAATATTTGGATATGCTCTTTCTGTAGCATGAGGGCTGCTCACACCCACAGATGCCATAAAGATGGCAGTTGGTATACTCTTTGCTGTCGTTTCCGGTTCTTCCATCCCTGTGCGTGGTGTCCTGCTGAGACTTGCCTTTGATGGAAACCCCAGTGCAGTTAATATCTCTCATCTCTTTCTCGCCCTTTCTGGTCTCTCTTTCTTTCCCTTCATCTTTCTCATTCCTTAAGGCTAAGGCGGGATGGCTGTCCCACTTCTTGTCCCAGCTTGTCCCAGCTAATCTCCTTCTCGCACACACACACGTCTGCTCACTGTTTTTCCACAGCTTTTTTTTATGTTCGGTCAGTCTCTGTTATTTGTTTATTTATTTATTATTTTTGTGAACCAGTGAGCTCAGACTGTACAGTTCTTTCATACAAGGCTAATTTGTAAAAAGTATAGCATTTGAACAGCCTACAGATGTAAATATGGGTGTAAAGTGTACTTTTAAATATTGTATCTTTCAAAATTATCAAGTGAATTTTTTTTTTGCAGGTCATCTTGACAGTCTTTCCTATTTCTGCCCATTGTACTGAGCTTACAAGTGGATGAAATTAAAGTCCTGAATAAACTTGTATAGCCAATGATTATTTCATTATAAAAATGATAGATATAATTATAAAAACGTCTTTAATTTTAACTATTTGAAAATAACTAAAATGATTCTTCATTGTAAAAAAGGCATCTCCACACTGAGAAAACCGTGGTTAAACAGAATACTTTACAAAGGTTTTTGTATGAATGTTACTTAATTACATCATTCCATTCCTAAAGCTAATAAAAAAGTTACTTTTTTATTAAAAAAAAAAGTATAATTAAATATGGAAGCTCTTTTTTGTCTCTAGTATATTTTTACTGAAGTATAAGCTTGATGTTTCAGTGAGGAAAATGTTGGCAGAGAGTATC